TGCAAACAAATTGAAAACACATTTAATTGAAATTCACTCAAAATATGAAACACTTATCGATTGTGAAGACAAAAAACACTTCCAGACATTGTCCACACATTTTGAGACAAATACTGACCACTCGTTTGGACACCAATTACAAGACAATGATGACTATGAATATCGAGAAAACGGGGAAAACAATGGTTACATAAATGTCGGCCATAGAAGACAATTGAATAGTTCGGAGGATGTGGTCGAAGAACTCGATGGAAGTCTTGTATCCATTGATGGGATTAAAGAAGAATGTTTTGAGTCAGTAGTGGACGACATCTGCGATGAAATGGTATCAACAGTTGAATACAATTGTCCACAAAATGATGGCAACGAATCCTATATCGATATACACGGCAACGATGTCTTCACATATTTGAACCACGATTTCAGTGATAATATGACTGTCGATGACATCAAACAAGAAGTGATTGAATCCAATGATGGCAGTGGTGTTCGGCCGCGAAGACAATGGAAGAGAAAATATATCTCTGAGATTCGCAAAGAGAGGAACCATAAGAAGATGAAGAAGAAGCTCAGAAGCAGAAGACAACTAAACGAATCAAAGAGTGCCACAGAAGTGGTGTTCGATAGGACTTCCAATGAATCCGACGTTAAACCCCGTAATGCAGTGAAAGAGTCTGAGGGGTTGGCGAAGACACGGAAGGAAAACACGGAAGCATTTAATGTCATATTAAGACAAAACTATCGAAATTTCACTGAATTTAAAGCTAAGACGCGATTCCGATGTCCGGTCAATGAGTGCATCAGTTTTTCCCGATCGATGTCAACACTGAACCGACACTTAAGAGCTTACCATAACATCGATCCGATTACTCAGGAGTCGTTTTGGGAACCGTTGAGCTGTACGTACGCCGGATGTGACTATAAGTCCACTCAAAGACAGTATCTTGAGTTTCACTTTAAGACAATTCACAAGAATTGCTGCAATTATACGTGCGATGAGTGCGGGAAGACATTCATGGCGTATACCCAATACACGGAACACAAGCGCACCCATAGTCTGGTGCCGACCATCCGGTGCGGCGTCGATGACTGCGAGGAACTGTTCCACACCAGACATGGCCTGCAGAGACACCGGGAGGCAGAGCACGGCTATGAGCGCAAAGAGGACCCGTGTTATTGGCCCGGATGTGCTTACGTGTCAAAGACTGGTTTGGATCGACTCAAAGATCATATCAAAGTCGTTCATCAGGACATTAGACCCGAAGTGTGCGATTGGCCGGAATGTGGCAAACGATTCGCCGATTCCAAGAGACTGAAAGATCACGTGAATATGCATCTGAAGATCAAACCGCACGCCTGTCATTGGCCCGGATGTACATTCCGGTGCACTTTGAGGTGTAATATCAACAAACATATGAAAAAACATCTCAAGTGAATTAGTTATCAATATTTGTATTTTAATATAATTTTGAATAAAATTTAATATTAATAAAAATTTCAATAACTATTTGTGTTTATTATTTAAACAAATATAGATTTAAATCTTTTTGAATTTAACCCATAATAAAATAATTATAAAAACAATTAATGAATAATTCATTTACCGCTAAAATGTTTGAAATGACTATAAATGACATAAAAGTCCCTTAAGTTTAAAAGTCTTGTTTTGTTTACAACTTTTGCATTCATTTTAATCATTAGTTTTTGATTTAATTATGGATTCAATGGTTAGGAAAAAGTCAGTCATTATTAGGATTAATGATATTTTAAGTGAATTAAAGTCAGAAAACAAACGACTTTTAATTGAGTTATCATTTGCTAAGAAATTGAAAACACATTTAATTAAAATTCACTCAAATTATGGAAATCTTATGAAATGGGAAGACATTCAAGACTTCGAGGAATTATCCAAACATTTTATCTCAACTGATGTCCACTCGTATGGACACAAATCAAACGACAAACTCATTGATGACACGGATGTCCCGCAACGAAGACCGACAATGGATCCGTTGGGAGACATAAGTGTCGAGGAATGCAATCGTGAGATAAAAGTGGAAAGAAATGAAGAGTTGGACCAAAATATGTCATCAGATGTTAACAAATGCTATATTGATATTCACGGCAACGATGTCTACAAATATCTGCAAAACAGTTGCAACAGATCATCGCTCCAGACGTCAGACACTGATTCCTATCTACAGACAGACAGTTATAGTGAAAGCAATGAAACGATATTAAAGCAATTATTGACCACTACTTGTGGCAGATCTCAGACCGATGTCTGTACTGTTGGACCCGATGTACGCCCGGAGACGCGTGAAGTGAATCCAAATAGTGATGCAACCAATGAATGCATCGACTCTTTATGGTCCAAATGTTGCAAAACTGGTTGTAATAATAGCTTTATCTATACTCAAGATCTTTACAAACATTTAATATATGATCACAATATGAACCGTTTAACCGATGAAGACTACAATCAATTGTTTGTCGATGAGAACAGTCAGAGATTCAACCAATCAATTGATGGCAAACCGGAAAAGATTAAACTATTGGAGGAATGCTATGAAAGCAATGCCTCAGCCCTCGACTCCTTGAGACACAAATTGTTTAACAATAATAATAATAATATAAACGATAAGAAAAGTACTGACGATATGAACGCAAAAAGTGTGACAAAACCTAAATCCAAAGCTAAGCGCTGGAAACCTGAGATGACATTCAAACTAAATACCAAAATCATAAGATATGGCGACGACTATTGCCACCAAACGGGTTGTTTCCCACAACACCACGACTTACGCGATGAACAACTGTTTAATTNAAAATCATAAGATATGGCGACGACTATTGCCACCAAACGGGTTGTTTCCCACAACACCACGACTTACGCGATGAACAACTGTTTAATTTGTTGAGACAACACTATAACAGTGTAGACGATATTAGAGAGCCGTTCACGTGTCCCGTAAGTGACTGTCAAAATAGTGGTTACATCAGTAAAAATACACTCAATTGTCACATCAAAGGAGCGCACGGTTTACAGACCATAACTGCCAAAACATTTCGACCACCGCATGGCTGTCAGGTGTCGGGCTGTCGGTTCCGGTGCCTAAACCAAGAATGTCTGGACAGACACTTCCAGACCATTCATAAACACGCAATTTATATCCACGCCATACGTGTCCGCACATCAAGTGATCTATAATTAAATTTATCAACACTTGTGGACACTCTATGTGTCCGGACTCTACATATCGGGTGTTCTTATACTGAAATTATAGGCAAATGTAATCATTCACAACAATTAATTTTATTAATTCAATGATTTCTAATTTATTTTTTAAAATTCAAGACTTGAATTTCAAGTGTATTTTTTAATAATATGATTATTTTTATTAAACATTTAATAAAATACAAAATAGAATTAAATTCTTCGTAAAATTCCACGTAAAATACAATTACAATTAAAATTATATCAAAATATTTATGAAAAGTTATGAAAACGAAATTTTATACAAATTAAGTTTTAAATGAAATGTTGTGTTGTTTTGAGTCGAATAGAAATTAATATCACTTAAAATCGTTGCTTTCATTTCTGCAACTCTTTGGCCATCGCATCGATTTTGGATCTCTTTTGATGACAACAATCACTTTGTCATCACTTTCTCCCACAACTTCATCGCTGTCATCGACGGTACAGCAGATGATAGTATCGATTCATTTAAAATCTCATTCAGACTAAAGTCATCCAAATTGATGGCGATCAGCCGTCCGTCGCTGTCCTGAGAATCCCATTGTCTGTCCATTGAATCGCAAATAAATTGATACAATGGTTTGTCTTTGAGTCGTTGAACGGAGACAACGAGTGGTCGACCAATAAGAGCCGTCAGTCGTGACCTCCAATCCAATCCCGTCTTTCGTTTCAACTGTTGTTCCAAACGTTGTCTTCGAGTGAAGACGTAAACCATTTCTTGTCGACTCAACTCTTGTCCGAATTGCCAGTCTTTGGCCTTCAGTGCGATATTCTTCGGCGACCACTCATTGTGTAGAGTGTTTGCCGTCGTTTGCGATACGCTTTGATCACAATATTTGTGGCCATAGATTGAGGCGATAAACGGTTCGCTCTTTTTATCGATTCTATGTTCATAACTGAGACACCGATTCTGTCGACAATTCTTAAGGCAAATGACTTTTTCAATGACTTTTCTGTCAATTCTTTGGTCGAAACCAAATTCAAGTTTGGCGTAAATTCTGGTTTTTTTTTCTATGGAATTGATGTCACTTTCAATGTGTTCTTCAGTTTAAGAAGAGTTGACAATATATTTCTCGTAGAAATATTTGTCGTATTTCTGGATCTGCTCTTCGCTAAGCTTTTCGATGACTAGCAATGGTTTACACTTCAGACCTAATGTTTGGTCGCAATTGTGGCCAAAATTGAATTCATTAATCGATTCATCGCTTTCTGGACTCAAATTCTTGGCTTTTGAATCCATTTCTCTTCGGATCAGTTGACAAACTCTTTGAGACAAACGATGCAAAACTCAAATAAAATACAAAAGAATTACAACTTCTTTGATTCGACAACACATTCAATATACTAATCAAACTAATGTATAATTAATATTAATTTAAGTAACATTTTGTTAAAATTTAATAAAAGGTTTTTTTTAAATAATTTATTATTGATAATTAGTTAATTATAAAAACAATTAATGAATAATTCATTTACCGCTAAAATGTTTGAAATGTCTATAAATGACATAAAAGTCCCTTAAGTTTTAAAGTCTTGTTTTGTTTACAACTTTTGCATTAATCAGTTTTTGACTCACATTTATGTTTAAATTGTTTTTAATTTAGTTTTTAATTTCAATTATGAATTCAAAAAAGAGTAGAAAATCATTATTTATAAGGATTAACGATATTTTGGATGAATTAATGGTTGAAAACAAACGACTATTAAATGAGTTATTGTTTGCAAACAAATTGAAAACACATTTAATTAAAATTCACTCAAAATATGAAACACTTATCGATTGTGAAGACAAACAACACTTCCAGACATTGTCCACACATTTCAAGACAAATACTGACCACTCGTTTGGACACCAATTACAAGACAATTGTGCCGTCGATTACAACGTGACTGAAGATGACAGCAATCGAGTGTCCATTAAATCATTTGACAGCAAATATGTCCACAAAATTAAACAATTGAAGAGAAAATACACTAAACGGACAAAAACGAGTGCCGAAGACACGAATGGATGCAAAACAAACATCAAAGTGGAGGGCAGAGCCAGTGATCACCAAAAGCGGATCCCACGGAAAGGCCAATACGTATGCGATTATCCCAACTGTTATACCACTCGAGTCTTCGCCGATAAATACCGTTTGGCCGCACATAAGAGGCGACACTTGAATCCACTCGACTTTGTGTGCGATTACGAGGGCTGCGACTTCATGTGCTGCGAAAAGATACGGCTCATAAGGCATCGGCGAACCCATCGACCGGAGCGGCCATTCATTTGTCCGCACGACGACTGCGGGATGAGCTTTAAGTTTAAGACAATTCTGACTCAACACTTATTGGTCCACTCGGACGGACAGTTTGTGTGCCCATTGGATGAGTGCCGGCGAGCCTTCCGTACACCACAACAGCTAACGGTTCACATCTCTCGTCACACAAAAGTGCCGACCCGTCGGTGCGATTACGACGACTGTACGCAAGCGTTCTTCACTCAATACCAACTCCGACAGCACCAGGAGTTGGCCCACAATCGGCTGTATTTGAGCCGTAAGTGCGGTTACGGCGACTGCAAAGAGCGGTTCCGAACCAAAGCCGAAGCGCGTGTCCACCGGGAGGCGACTCACGGCGTGGACCCACTGGCGTACCCGTGCTGTTGGCCGGGCTGTTCGTTCCGCACCAAACGGTCGGACTGTTTGCGCCGACACGTGAACCGGTGTCACAGCGATGTGCGGCCACACCTGTGTTCGTGGCCGGAGTGCGGCAAACGCTTCTCCGAAAAGGACAAACTCAGTGATCACATGCGGACCCACACTAAGGCTAAACCGTACGCCTGTGTGTGGCCGGGCTGTACCTATAGGTGCTCTCTCGCCGGCAATATTACTAAACATCTCAGAGTTCATAAGAAATAGTATTTTTAAATGTCATTTATATTATATTTTTATGATTTTATTTCCTGTATTTATTTATTTGTTTATAATTATCTTAAATTCAAGTGATATTAACAAAATATCAATGATTTACAAGTTTTTTTTAAATTTTAATTTAAATACAACTGCGTTAAAAACCTTTATAATTTTAATTAATATATTTAAATGTAAATTTAAAGTATTAATAATAACTGATTATATAATTCAATATACCGTGAATTTAAAACAAATGGTAAAATGCTGTAAAACTTAATAATTGAGAAGTAAAGCACCGCTTATTATCAACCAATACCGCTGACCGACACAACTGTGGCCCGATTACATGTACACGTTTTATATTTTACACTCTATTTATATATTACGAGGTCATCCTCCCGATTAGTGGACAACCCCCTATATAATAACAACCCCCTGGACACCCCCCGTTATATAAACAACTTTATCAATTTTATGTTCAATGTTATGAAAACAATGAATGTTATTTTATGTTATGGAATGTTAATGGAACTTTTCTGCAATAATTTTAATATAATGTTAGGATTAGGATTTACAACTAATTTCACTTATATTTTACGTTTAGAAATATAGCTGAATGTATGCCTAAATACAGACATTCCTATTGTAATGTCAGATCAGCTCAGACTATAGAAGCGTTGAAATTAGAAACGTTTGTGTGTTTTCTTAAGGGGAAGAGAAAATGATCACTCATTTCAAAGAATAATTGAGGCAAAGGTCAGCCGATTTATTAATGTGAACAACACTTATAGCATAAACTGTGCTAAACTATATGCAATGTAAAGTTAAAAATTGCATTTTTATACACTTAATCACATATTTAGATTATAATAGCAATGAGTAACCAAAACTGGACTCACATAACATTTAGTTTCAAAGTCTTACCATAATAATTAAATTTGTATGTATTGTACCGCTGATGTAAAAGTGATGTATGATTGCAAATATATGTGCAATAAAAGTAAGAGTTAAACGAACAGAATTGTGAGCAGAAGTTAATTGCTGTTTGTGTTGCCTATAAATCGCGTCATTAGTTAGTCTCAGAGTTTAGATAAAAGCCGTTTTTGTGCTCCGATTGTCACACAAACGACTCCAACGACTCGCTTAACACATCGGATACTATCGTTGAGTCCGTTAACTATATTATGGCCAGTGATATGATCTCAGCCTTGGATTTAACGACCAAACCGACCAATAGATCCATTATCACAGTCAACAATAGCGTCAGACTGGGAACCGATGCCCACACCGTGGAGGTCGGTGTCAATACAGCGCCGATTGAAGAACAAGTGGTTACCGCTGAAGATAAGGATGCGATCATCGATGGGTTGAAAGAGAAGCTGAAACAACAGAAAGCTCGTCACCAAAGAGTCCGTCACGCGTTCGACGGCATTAAGAGCCGCCGCCAGAGGGAGATCCAGAGGAATGACGCTCTCGTGAGAGAGAATAATGCCATTAAGGAGAAACTCGAGGAATATCGGCAGAAACTAATCCGACACGAGTCGCACCTGCGATACGAGTCCAGTGGACCGCTTGTATGTCAGATGCCGTCCAGAGTAGAGCAACAGTTGTTCACATGCAGGCAAGAGGTGGACCAATTGGAACGAAAATTGGCGGCCGAGCGGCAGAAGTCAGCGAAGATCAATAGAGAGCGGATGATCGCTAAACAGGAAGCGTCAGAAAAGGCCCGCAATTACCCATTGGTCACCCGAGACAATGACTCTTTGCCTCAGCTGTACGTCAATCCAGTCAACCAAAGAGTAGATCGCTCTTCAGAACCGTTGATCTTTCTAAGAGGAGCGCCCGTTCGCGACGGACTGCAGACAATC